CGATCTCGCCACGTTCTCCCTGCGCGAGACCGCCATCTGCCTCGAAGAAGCTGACCTCATCGATCTCGAGAATCGAGCCCAGGCCGAAAGCTCCTGGAGCTTGAGCTTGGGGGGGCCCAATGGAACAGGCGCTGGAGCGACCGAAACTTGCTGGTGCAACTCCGTGACCAAAGACTTGTGCTCCGTGTCCGCCGTGCCGAGCTCTGCGCGCAGTGACCTGATCGCAGCTTCTTGTTGGGCGACGCCCTGCCCCCCGGCGAGCAACTTGTCCACTTCCGTACCCAGCTGCTTCTTCAAGCGAGAGACCACCGCGAACGCCTGTTGCACCTTCTGATGAAGGGGTCTCAAGGGCTTGGGCGACTCTTGCGGGTGCAACCACTTTGACTCCGACTCGTACTTTGCTGCCGTGGCCGTGTCGCCTCCTTTGCGAGCCCCTTCAGCCAACTGCTTCGCCTCCGTAGACGTGAGCTGGCTCTGGGCTCCGGCGCGCAGAGGAGCTGGTGCAGCCAGGGGAACACCGCCAGGCTGGGCACCACCGCGCCTGATTGTCCAGGGAGAAGTCCAGGGAGCCCGAGCTGCTGCGTAGACCATGTGGGCGGACTGAAAACACCGGGGGAGGGGGGGGGGGGGGCTGCGCCCACGCGCCGCTCGGAGGGCGCTCACCATCAGCAGGAGCAACAACTGACAGCGGATAACCACAGTGCTTGCAGAACCGCGCGGACTTGGGGTTCTATGCAGGACCACACTTGCTGCATTTGGCTTTGGAGAACCTTCCGCCTACAGCGCCGCTGTCTCCATGCGAGTTGTTCCACCAATGCCGATGCGAAACCCCTGTCAGCGTCGCGATGCCAATGGGGGCGTGGTTGGAGCTCGGTCCCATCGACCCTTGCCCTTGCCGCTCCCAATATCCTTGCCGCCGCCGCGGGGGGGGGGGGGGGGGGGGGCGGAAGCTTGGGTGCCATGCGTCCGCAATTCGCTGAGAGAAACCAACGCCGACCCAATGGCCCGTTGGCGCACTGCCGCTCTGGAATTGGCGTCTTGAGCCTGGCTACGAGAGGAGGGTGGGGGGGGGGGGGGGGGGGGGGGGGGGGGGGGGGGGGGGGGGGGGGAGGAGAAAGGAGAAGAGGAGAGAGGGGGGGGGGGAAGGGAGGGTAGGAGGAGGAGGAGGAGGAGGATGGTGTAGGGATGGAGGATGGAAGAAGGCGACGACGACGACGACGCCCCGTCCCTACGCGCCCCCACCTCCACGATCTGGGCGTGTTAGCCTTAGATCACGAAGCGCTGCCTGGGCCGCGGATACGTGGGTTTGCGGGACCTGGCTGAGCGCGGGCGGGAGCAGAGGAAGTGAATGATACATGTGCACAGCGATGTATATCTCCTCTAGCGCGTGGACGGTGCAGTGCGTAATTCCCCATCTTATAAGCGGATCGGAAGCGAGAGCGCGATTCTGGAGGGCGAAGGAGCTCGCAGAGGACAAGCGGGGACAGAGAGCATAGTGGCATTGGCGGTCTAAGCATTCGGGGCCACCAAGGATGCAAGACGATTTGCCGCGCTCACTCAGAACCCTGCGGGTCGTGAGCCACCCGCCCGCTGCAGTCCTGAGCCGAGTCCAAGCCCAAGGCGGGGGCGCAGTCTTCAGCAATAGAGGAACGGATTCAAGGTCAGCTCGTACAATGTCACTCGTGCGAACTGGCCACCGTATCTGTAGCCTCTGACGGGATAGGTCATGCAAAGTCAGTGCAGAGATCATTGCACAGCAGGCCTGGAACGCAGCACGTTGCACTGTTTGTCCGGGGGCAGCGCTCTGTGCCGCGTGCGCAGCGACTGCATCATGGTGATCTGTCAGACTCTGTGTACCAGTCCACGCATCCTCCAGGAACTCAACATATGCACGATATTTCCAGTGACTGGGGTATCGACGCGAACGAGGGAGAACCGAGAGACGACATTGATCACGATTATCTTCATCATCATTGGTACACTTGTGGAGCCAGGAAAGCACTCGCCAACGTTCAGGAACAGTACTGATCGCCATGCGTGCTAGGGTTGCCGAGCACAGCTGAGCAAGAAAGTTGACGCGTGGACCATTCCACTCTCGAAGACGGCGCCAGGCAGCTGCGCTAGAAGTTCCAGTCGGCACCCGAAAGGCGGATGCGAGAGCTCCAATCTCCAGATCAAAAATCCGTCGCGGAGGCGGAAGATACTGGGCTAACTCAACTGACCGTCGGTAGCACACGGGTCTGGTAGAGCTGGCTCGATGCCGAGGTAACCTGGCTACCTTTTCCAGGAGCCTTGGCTCGAGACTGATATTTTCCGACTGGGAACGCTCCAGGAGGCCTCAAGAGTAGCCCCAGGGCCAACAAACATACCCAGATAAAACAATTTATCCGCAACCTGGAAGGACGCCCACTGAGGTGTGCATTGGTTCAGGTATCCACGTACACGAGCCTGCAACGCCGGCGTAAATGCAAAGGCCCCAGGGACCAAAAAGCACTTGGGTGGTTGGAGGACGAGATGCGTAACCAGAGCTGAGACCTTCATTATTCTAGCTAGCGTACGTAGCCCCTGGAGCTGTCGCAGAACACCACCAATATCGTCAGCACACGCTCTGCTTATTCCCAGTTTGGCCCCCTCGATGGATATGAAGAGATCATGTAAGGCAGGAGTAAGCGCAGCAGCAAACAGCGACCCCGATATGGCATCACCCTGGATAATCCCAGACCGAATCCAAAAGGCAAAGATCATAGCTCCCCGACACGACATAGTCCCTTCGATGGCAGAGTAAAGGAAAGCGGCGAAGGTGGGCAGAGCAGCAGGACACCCCATGCGCTGTTGCACCAGCTGGAGATATTGCTGGGATAGACTCGGAAACGCATGCCCGTAGTCAAGAGCATACAGAAACTATGACATTCTTCATCAGCTTCAGGGCGACACGAGTATGCTCGCGCAACAGCATCAACTTCAGCAATACGCATGGCAAAGTTGCGTCCCCTCATAAATGCTCTCTGTGATGGTGGCACAAACTTATCAAGAAGCTTCCTGATCGCATAGTTGACCGACGCGGTGATAATTTTATAGCCAGCATTCCTGAGGCCCAGGACCCGAACAGCATTGACATCACGATCACATTCTCCAGCTTGTATGTCACCGTTACATTCACCGTTGGGTAAAAATAGCCCGGGGCGTGCGACCCTCGCTGGCAAAGGGCGGAATCCCGCAGAACATTCCCAGCATAACATCATGCAGGAGCTCCACTCCGCACGGGTTGAGTGCCCACGCTGCATAGCATAGGCGATCACATCCAGTAGCAGAGTCAGTCGCCCGCGAGAGAACCCTCATCACATAGAGGCTCGGCGGGGCAATCTGAAAAAATCAACAGGCTGAACAAAACGATCCACGTACTTCTCAGCTGCAGCTTGGGCCCAAGGTTTTCGTCATCTCCCCAGTGTTTACCGAGAGCTTGCCCACGAGCCTCAAGACCTCCGACGGGGGCCCCCTCAACCAAGACATCCCGAAGAACGAGTCGTCGAGCGAAAGGGGCCAGATCCGAGCCCGACGTTCCACAGCGATAACCCTCCTCTTTAATTGCTTAGCCGAAACCTCTTCTCCGTCCTGATTACCTCCTCCCCCCTCAAGTTCAAGCCGAGCACGCAGTCGGTCGCGATCCAACTTCGCAGCGTTGAGTTGCTGCATCTTGCACCACTGCATGAAGGGCCCCGCGTGCGCCAGCTCAACTCTGGATCCTGAAATAGCAAGAAAGCCAGCAGCAACAGGATGAGATTCCATCAGCCGCTCCGCGGCCTGGACATCTTGTCTCCATGCCGCTCTCGCAACAGCTCCGGCAACCAACAAAACAATGCGGGGGTCGTGCGGGCGGCGGCGCAACAGGCAGTCGCGAGCCCCCCGACTGGCCACTGATAACAAGTACTTATATCGCTCCAACCGTGGCGCCGAACTCATGCTGTCCAGGTGCAGTTTTTCAGCTTCCAGGAAACGCTCCACGATCGATTTGAAGTCCTTCGAAACACAGATATGCTTGGGGATCGGGCGGTCAGTGGCCTCAGGAGGCCGTCGTTGCCGGAATAAAACGACATGAGCAACATGATCACGAATCATATTCTGCGCCAGCTGCTCTGGTTCTCCATCCACTCTCGGAGACGCCGCCATCTGCGTCAGAGCTCATCCAGGCCATGAGATCCAGAAGCGATCGATGGCCGCAACAGCATCTGCCTTGGCATCACAGTGCGTCGCCGCCGAACATGAAATCTCTACAAGGGAATCGAGTGTGGGAGACCAGACGGGGGCTCTCGCGTGCAATGGTCGAGGTATCCGCTGGGCCTCAGATGGCTGCGAGAAGGTCAGCTTTTCCTCAGAGGCAAAATTGAAATCGCCATGCACGACTACTACAAAACTCTCGGGGGATGCTTCAGAGGCTTCGCGATCCTGGGAAATCGCGCCGCGCACGTCCCGAATTTCGTTTACAGTTGAATCATGATTGTGCGCGTTCCAATGCACCAGCGTGGATTCACCGCTCGCACAATTAATTCTCAAACCTCGGCAAGGAACAAAAGTACGCGAGTCGGCAGCGACGCCTTCAGCGGGGGAGGGATGGCCATTTTTGATCACTCCAAGCACGACCGCGACAACCCCACCTCGGATGCGCCGAGAGGGATCCCCCCCCCCCGCAGAAACTCTACAAAATCAAGGCACCTGGGAGAGCCTTCTGGAAGAAAACCTGAAGCTGCAATTCATCTCGCCTAACTTCCCGGGGCGCAGTAACCGAGGGGCCTGCGCGCAGACGCCTCAAGTATCCCAGCTTTACACGAGCGCGCCTACCTTCGTACTGCAACGAAGCCATGCAATTCCAAGAGTTAAAGCGGAGGCCTCCGATCGCCTCTGCATCCTGGAGGGAGGGCAAAGAGGAGACGGCAAAAAGGCGTGCAAACCTGCTAAAGACACCACTGCGGCTCCTGATCAGGCTCCGCAGCGCTGCTGATCGCCTCGGCGAGGCGATCCTTGTCGAGGCCCAGCCGGTTGATCGTGGCAACGTTCCACTTAGCCTCCGTCGGGGTGCGTCCCTCGAGCACGTCCAGCTTGAGAAGTGGGCCCCATCACACCGACAGCCAGCCCCTCTCGCGGTCGAGGAAGAGACGGTGCGAGTTGCCCAGGAAGGTGGTGAGCAAACCTTTGACCTTGCGGCCCATGATCTCCGGCTTGATGGTGCGCGGGTTCTTGTCCGCGCTGACGTGCAGCTTGGTCGCGCCCTCGCCGCTGTGCGCCTCGATCTCGAACTGCCGCCAATGCCCGTCCACCCTGAGCATGGAGAGCGCCTTGGCCACGCGACGAGCAGTCAGGCCTTCACCTCCAGCGACGCGAACAGTGAAGACGCGCGACAAGACATCACGGCATTCGATCGACCACCAGTCTGCAGCAAAACCTGCGTCGACTTCCAGCCATGGCTGCAGCGCCTCCTGCACCTTGGCCTTCGACACCAGCTTGCCCGCATTGATCTTGATGATCGAGTAGTCCACCTCCCGCTCGAAGGCAAACGAAAACACCACAGGTTTGGACGGCCGCTGGTTCGCCACGGCCAGCTCCGCCTGCAACTGCTTGACGGTGTCCTCGAGCTCCTGAATATCTTTCGTGTGAGCCTCAACCTTCGTGTCCACGCTCTGGACAATGGCCGAGAGAGTGTCGGACTTCGTCGTGAACTCACGTCGTAGTTCATCCAAGCGAGGATTGAGCGTGACCTGAATATACTTGTCCAGCTTGCGCGGCAGTTCCTCGAGGTCCCTCTGGCACTGGGAGAAGCACTAGTCGAAATTATTCTTGAAGGAATCGGGGATCGTCTTCGTCTCAGTGGCGACCGACTCCGAGATGGATGTGGCCACGGCCGAATCCACTTCCTTCTTGAGGTCCTTGAGCTGCTCAGCGACGACGTTGGCGCAGATCGCACGGATGTGCTCGTCCGAGAAGGCGACGTCCCAGGTGTCCTCATCACTACCCCCCAGTTCCATGGCGGTACCCACAGGCGAGGACGATTGGCCAGTGCTACCACCAGAAGCAGCAGCGGCAGCACGAGCAGAGCGTGGAGTGAGCGCAGCCCCCTTCGTCGACTTCGCAGGCTTGAGGACCCTTGCTCCACGAGGGCCATGAGACGTCATCAGCAAGCTAGACTGACTGGATGAGAGGATGCGGAGGCTGAGTGGTGGCGCCCAACTCCACCAGTGGATGCAGAGGAAGAGGGATGCCAGGCAGAACTGCCTTGCCTGCCGCGGACTAGCGGTATCCCTGCTTGCCTTGGGGCTGGAAGCCCCCAAAGCCATAGTCTTGAGCCAAAATGGCTACGGAGGAGGAGGAGGGGGAGGAGGAGGAGGAGGAGGAGGAGGAGGAGGAGGAGGAGGAGGAGGAGGACGGGGAGGAGGAGGAGGAGGAGGAGGAGGAGGAGGAGGAGGAGGAGGAGGAGGAGGCGAAGAAGGAGTTGGATGATGAGTGACGAGAAGTAAGGATAAGAGGAGGACGAGTTAGTACGAGGAGGATAACAGAGGGACGAGGAGGAGGAGGAGGAGGAGGAAGAGGAGGAGGAGGAGTGTGAGGGGAGAGGAAGGGAAGGGGGGAAGCAGACGGCGAGGTGGACGGCGGGTGGGCGCGCGCGCGGAGGCCTCCACAGCTCGACCAGGCGGCCCACCCCGACCGGAGGCTTCGGCGCCTGCGCCGACGTCGCCGTCGTCGCAAGCGCCACAAAGATACGACACTCACATCATTATTGACTGATTGTCAAGTAAGTACTGCGCTCACGTTGTCTGCAAAATCGCGCAGCAGTGAGCCCTAGGCATTTCAAACGACTGACTGGACGCTAGTGGCGCGGTGGGGAAGAGGAGGAGGAGGAGGAGGAGGAGGAGGAGGAGGAGGAGGAGGAGGAGGAAGAGGAGGAGGAGGAGGAGGAGGAGGAGGAGGGGGAGGAGGACAAGCTGGTTGCGCTCGCGTCATATCTGACGTACCTAACCCCTCCCTCCCATCCCTTACATGGCGTTGATTTTCTCTATCCGTGACGCGTGTCGTAGCGGGACCTGTGGCCCTCGCGCGCGTGCGTAGTGGGTGTGTGTGCTGCGTGCGTGCGTGCGTGTGGCGTGGGTTTGTCGTGGTGGGGGTGGTGGTGGTGGTGGTGGTTGTGATGGTGGTGGTGGTGGTGGTGGTGGTGATGGTGGTGGTAGTGGTGCTGGTGGTGGTGGTGGTGCTGGTGGTGGTGGTGTTGGTACTGGTGCTGGTGCTGGTGGTGGTTGTGGTGGTGGTGGTGGTGGTGGTGGTGGTGGTGGTGGTGCGGCGCGGTGGTGGCGGGCGGATGGGCGCGCGAGAAAAGGCCCGCGCTGGGGCGAGAACGCCATCCTGAACGACGGAGGCCAAACACCGATCCGAAAATGAGGCCCACGCTGCAGCGGGAGCACGATTCGGAACGATTCGGGAGCAGAAATGAGGCCGGCGCCTCAGCGAGAGCAATATTTTGGAGAAAAACGCAGGCGAAAACCCGTTTCCGGGGAATCCTGTGTTAAAAAACAGTACGCGGGGGGAGGGGGTCTGCGATCACCCAACCGCCATCAGGGGAAGTGGGATCATATTTTCATATTGAGTAATTGTGGAGGAGGAGGAGGAGGGAGGAGGAGGAGGGGGAGGAGGAGGGGAGGAGGAGGAGGAAGAAGAAGAAGAGGAGGAGGAGCAGCAGCGGGAGGATAAGGAGCGGGAGGACGTGGATTCCTCAGTAGTGGGGGGGGAATCGCTAGGGGGTGCGGTATTATGACATCCGAGCCCTGACTCCCGAGCAGCAGGCCGCAGCAGCGACGAAAGGGGGCCGACTTAGGGTGCCATAAGCGAGACGGGGCAAGGGCACCAGAGACACCGCGGCAGGGACAAGAAAGGCGGACTAGGGACAGAGGAGGGGGGAGGAGGGATGAGCAAGAGGAGCAAGAAGAGGGAGGAGTCAGCGCGATTAAGTGCAGCTGACGTCCAGGTGCGCTCCCTGGAGGTCTTCCAGCACTTCTGCTACGGCGCCCTGTGGTTTAGATGGGTGACCTCCGAAGGTAGAGCCCAGAACTCAGAATGCTCTCCCCCCTCTGCCCCTCTCCTCCTCCTGCTGCTCCTCCTCTTGCTCTTCCTCTGCCTTCCTCCCTCGTGCGTTGTTTCTGCTTCTCCGATGACTCTTTCCTTTTCCTCTTCCTCATCCCCCTGCTGCTGCTCCTTCTTCGACTCCTTCTGCAACTCCTCCTCCAGCTCCTCCTCTTGCGCCGTATCTTGCTCCTCCTTCTCCTCCTCTGGCTCCTCCTCGTCCTGCTCACCCACTTGTGAATCCTCGCCCCGCAATCCCCTCCACACCCACCCCAGGGAGGGGGGATGGCGGGGGAAGGGGGATGGAAAAGGGATGGAAGCGGGTGAGGGAGAATGGAAACGGGGGAGGGGGCGGGAGAAGGGGAATGCACGGGACATTAAAGGGCCTCGCTCAACTTCCCTTTCGAGCACCCCAACGGCCAATTGAATCCCCTCCACCCCAGGGCTCTGCAGGCCGCGCTGCTGGTGCTATGGCCATGGCTTCTCATGCCAGGGCCGCACCAGTGGGCGCCGTAATTAGTACGCGGCGGCATCCGAGGCTGCAGCTCCTTGTGACGCCACGCTTGCAACACCAGGCACGGTGCGCAGGAGGAGGAGGAGGAGGAGTGACCGCCCAAAGACGTGAAAGATCTGTTCGGGAGACTGTGCTCAACTTGACGGCCGGACTGAACAATAAAACCCCCAGATGGTCTCAACTGGCAATCAAGTGGGCGAGGGCTATGAAATGTCGGATTTCAGGTAATACGACACTCGCCTCCGTTGAACAGGAAGCGCAAGATAATCGTAGACGCAGAGAGGTGTCTTAGAGCTCTCGTAGCGTGCTGTACCAGTCGTTCATCGATCTCTCGAACTCTTCTTCGGGGTGTTTGCTTCGCCACTCGGGCTCAACTTTCCCACCGGGGCCCCATCCCCAGTTGCCTGTAGCATAAGCTGTTACCAATGACTCATACTGTCCAGTGTGATTTCTCCGCTCCAGAATGGTAACCTTGCTCACACCAATGTCACGAACATACTGTGGGCCGGAAGTGCAGGATGTAAGATGTTCGGGAAATACATTGAAACCACACCGCCTTTTTTACATTGTCTCCAATACCTGTCTAGGGAGCTGGTCAAGCAGTCCTGTTCACATGTGTCCAGAGGCCAAATAGACTACTTCATCCTCCAGTAGTGAACATGTTACTAAGGTGTGAGCGACCATGCCACAGTAATTCACCAGAACACCCGAAGCCTTCTTCATCACGCAAGCGGTCACATAAGGTTGTAGGTGCCGATCTTGGCATTGTCAGCACGACAGAGGCGTTCCGATTTGACTGAATTTTGAGAGAGCGCGGTGTACGTATAAGGATCAGATGTCTGGTTTGATATCGTCGACCAGACTTCCGACCGATTGCCTTGTGAGGAATCATACGGCTGAGCTGCAAACTCTATCAAGTAAATGCGCTTGCACGGAACTAAGACAAGGACCAAAACGAATCCATGGCGCATGACACCTATAATGGAATTAACAACGTACATTGGACATGTGTTACCCTTGCCCTTGAGACAAGATGGCTTGAGTCAAAATGGCTACGGAGGAGGAGGAGACTGAGGAGGAGCAGGAGGAGGGAGGAGGAGGAGGAGGAGGCGCCGGAGGAGGAGGAGGAGGAGGAGTAGAGGACCCGAGAGAGGGACGAGAAGGAGGAAAAGACAAACGCGTCGCTGCTTGGGTGCATACACCCCTAGCACATTCACTGCTTGGCCTCGGTGCCTCTGCTTCTGCACTGCCCGCCCGAACATCACGCTGAGTATAGCACCATCCCGAAGCCATGTGGGCGGAATCGTGAAAATATGTGAATGCGAACGCTGTGCCGTAAAACTGATGGAAACTGCCCGACCGTTACATGGGAGCTGATGAGGAGGAAAAGCGCTCCTCCTCTTCCTCCTCCTCCTCCTCCTCCTCCTCCTCCTCCTCTTCGTCCTCCTTCTCCTCCTTCTTCTTCTTCTTCTTCTCCTCCTCCTCCTCCTCCTCAAACTGTTCCTTGTTCTCCTCCGCCGCTCCTCGGGCGGGTGGTGACGGGAGGGTGACCCAATTTGGGGGTGAAGAAAAGGGCCCTCAAGGAGCCCTTTGGGGCCTCTTCTGAACCCAGCTGGTGCCCGTAAGGGATCCTGAAGGTCCCCTTTGGGGAATTTGTCTTCACCCCCCATGTGGGTCACCCCCCACTGCCAGCCGCCCGAGGGCGGAAGGAGCAGAAGCGGGAGCGGGAGGCGCAGAAGCAAGAGCGGGAAGAGCAGGGGCGGGAGGGGCGGGAGCGGGAAGAGCGGGAGCGGGAGGAGCACGAGGAGGTGGAGGGGGAGGCGGAGGAGGAGGAGGAGGAGGAGGAAGAGCAGGAGGAGGAGGAGGCTCTTCCTCCCACCCCCTTCTGAGAGCGCCGGCATCGAAGGCCGAGATGTCTCCATGTCCCTGGCCATGTCGTCGAAATCGACGACGTCGCCTGGGCGGGCAGAGCCGCTGGGGGCGGCGGGGAATCCAGTCCAGGATCCTCTTCCTCCTCCTCTTCCTCCTGCTCCTCCCTCCTTCCTCCTCCCTCCTTCCTCCTCATCTCCGTCTTCTACATGTGTTTTTGGCCCTCGGGAAGCGCAACCGCGGCTGGACGCAGCTCAGGGGGCGGGTCAGGGCGGACCCGCAGATTTTTGTATGTCTCCTCGGACGAAGCCTCCAGAATCTCGCCCTGGGCCCCAGGACGATGAGAAAACGGCCTGCGATGGAGAACTGGCCCGAGGAAGCGGTCGAGAGCCCCTGCGCCTTTTTGTATGATGCACGTGGTCTTGTTCGAGTTTTTCTCCGACGCATCCAGCCCAACGCGCACTCACGTTTGGGTGCAAGTCCCTGCGTTGCTTGGCCCGTCCAACAGAGAATGAGCCCGAATACACAGTGAGG